CTTCTCGCCTCCCTTGGGTTTGGGGGTCTTTGGGGTGCAAGGTTTGGACACTTTAATGGTGGTCTGGCATTCAGCGTTGAACAGTGCCTTCTTCAATGTCCCAGACCTGCTTCTGGTTCCTGTAGTAGTGTCACATTCGGCCCAGCGACCAAACTTGTACTTGCAGTCAGCTAAAAAACCAAGAACAAGCTCGACTGAATGGCCTGTCTAAATGTATTTTAATTTGATTCACATCCAGACATGCATTCAGTGTATTCATATACAGTAAATCTCCTTACCACCGAAGTCTTTCTTCCAATTGCATGGGACTTTGCACTTGGTTTTCTTTGTCTGTTCGTTGCAGGTCGCCTCCCGAATGCCGGCCCCACAGTCGCCGCCGTTGGGCACGCATTTCCCATACTGCCATTCACTGCACTCAGCATCTGCTTTGGGCTCTTTGCCCTTTTCTGTCGCAAAATAGAGAATGATTATTAATGATATCACACCAAAGGAATGTGCATTGCATCATTTGAAGTCATTTTGTAAAAAATAAGAACCTTTTTTCTTCATACTGGCTTCCACGGTGATCACCAACACCACCAGCAGCACAAGTGCTATAGAGAATAAACTCCGCATTCTGGGGAGAAAAAAAAATTAATACAGCTGATATTAATTTCACTATGTAGATGCACAAGCAGATATAAAACTACATAGTTTTATTATCATTTATGTACTATTAATTAATATTTTGAATTAGCCTGTGCTTTTTTCGTTATCGTTAGTTTTTTTTATTTTTATGTACTAATATTTTAATTTGAATATTTCTGATTAGCTTTCTTTTTATTTCAATTCTAGTTTTAATCATTTTAACTTCTTTCAGTTAGCTGCCAGGGCAACATTTCAAATGTTCATTTAGGCTATGTTTTTTAAGTGCAAGTTTTCAATCTTATAATTACATTTTATTTTATTACAGCTTTAATTCAGTTATCAAAAATTTACACTGTACACAGTACACTGCAGAGGACAACATCTAACCAGGTGTCCATCACACCAGTTTGTTTTTGCTCTATATGGAATATTTTATATACATACACCAACATAACACATATGTTGTATGTATGCTACTCAAAAAACATTCATATTTGATAGATGTATTTTATTTTGTCCCTTTGTTGTTATCTAGGCTGGTTTAATTTGCTTAATTCGTTTTTTTTCAAACCGATTAATTAATTAATAACTAATGGTTAGTTAACGGTTTAGTGGAATTAGTCAGGTTGAAAGGTCCTCTCAGAAACACCAAAACAGAGTAATTCAGATAATAACACATCAGATATGAATGTTTTCTCTGTACTGTCTGAATTAAAGACACTGTGCACACAATGTCCTCCGCCATCCTAGCAGCTCGCTGTGTGACTCCATAAAAGAGCTTCTCTATATTTTCCTGCACACAGCACTTCTCCTTTTCATTCTTTTCCTGCCTCCATTAAAACAGGCTCCTTTCACGACGCAGCCCGCGGCACGGCTCCATTCTTCAGTCACTCATAAATGTGAAGGGCTCCTCGGGGTCGGACTTTTTGTGCGAGGAGAAACAGCGGTCGGCAGGGGTCCCCCGCCTCCCCTCCTCAGCCTCCGCGGGGAGAGAGGCCAAGTACTCAAAGACCTTCATCTGGGCCTTAGAGGAGCTTGATTCACTGGCTCCGAACAAAGCAGGATCTCGCCCGTTTTGCTTCCCTCTCTGAAAGGGCCCGAACACAGATCCCATGCTGTGTCTTGAGGAGGAGGGGAGGGCCCTCCGCTCCAATCCTTTGAATGTAGGCCTATTTGCATTGGAGGACAAACCCCGCTCTGTTGATGCAAGAGGGGATGTGGGATGCTGCCTTTGATAAATGCAGAACTGGACATTTTGAAAACTTCCTCAAGGAGCACAAAGTTCACCGCCGACCACATGACTCCCCAAGCGCAGGCTCTCTCGCATCTGGAGCTTTGCGTTCCGTCGGGATTGAATCGCAAGGCCTGATGTTTCTGATGTGGAGAAGTGGGTCAGCAGTTGCTGGCAGCTGGTCCTCTTTGGCACTTCACAGAGCATCATTATCCCTGACAGCGTTAAAGCGCCCTTGCACACCAAAACACAAACTCCATGACTTTATTACAGCATGAATGCAACTATTTAAAGCGACATCCGCCACTGAATCAACTATAACAAACAACTTAGCGATAGTGTCGCCGTTAAATGTAATTAGCGATAGCGATCTATTGTCGCCGTTCAATTAAACCTAATATTGACGCTATTATTTTAAACTCGTGAAATATTCGCATATTAAACGCCACATTTTATAGTCTAAAAGTCGTAAAAGCGTGCTTTAAGCGATTTTAACGCTTATTGACTAACATTCGCGATTGTTATTATGACACGGTGCGTCCGTAGGCTACGCCTCCTTTCATATCATGTCAAATATCTCATCATAAACACGCCCAAACATTATTATGAATATAAATGCATTCTACTATCGCACTAAAACGCAGATACAATTTATAGTATAAGCATATCCAAATAAATCTGATCAATCCGGTTAATCGCTGATATTTGCATTATTTATCACCCACTAACGTTAGTAGGCTATTATTCAAACGCGCAGCGTCGTCAAACACATCGACTGCAGTATATCTGTTGATGCAAGAGGGGATGTGGGATGCTGCCTTTGATAAATGCAGAACTGGACATTTTGAAAACTTCCTCAAGGAGCACAAAGTTCACCGCCGACCACATGACTCCCCAAGCGCAGGCTCTCTCGCATCTGGAGCTTTGCGTTCCGTCGGGATTGAATCGCAAGGCCTGATGTTTCTGATGTGGAGAAGTGGGTCAGCAGTTGCTGGCAGCTGGTCCTCTTTGGCACTTCACAGAGCATCATTATCCCTGACAGCGTTAAAGCGCCCTTGCACACCAAAACACAAACTCCATGACTTTATTACAGCATGAATGCAACTATTTAAAGCGACATCCGCCACTGAATCAACTATAACAAACAACTTAGCGATAGTGTCGCCGTTAAATGTAATTAGCGATAGCGATCTATTGTCGCCGTTCAATTAAACCTAATATTGACGCTATTATTTTAAACTCGTGAAATATTCGCATATTAAACGCCACATTTTATAGTCTAAAAGTCGTAAAATCGTGCTTTAAGCGATTTTAACGCTTATTGACTAACATTCGCGATTGTTATTATGACACGGTGCGTCCGTAGGCTACGCCTCCTTTCATATCATGTCAAATATCTCATCATAAACACGCCCAAACATTATTATGAATATAAATGCATTCTATTATCGCACTAAAACGCAGATACAATTTATAGTATAAGCATATCCAAATAAATCTGATCAATCCGGTTAATCGCTGATATTTGCATTATTTATCACCCACTAACGTTAGTAGGCTATTATTCAAACGCGCAGCGTCGTCAAACACATCGACTGCAGTATAATAATAGGAGTTGTTGGGTTATGATGATGATGATGTACTTGCCTTATTGCTGTGAATATGATGCTGTGCTGCGAGCGTGTGTCTGTGTTCAGCTCTCTCTATGATCTCTGCTGCTCTTTGTGTTTCTCCAAACTAGTTTGAGCTGGTCGCATAGCTGTGCACTTACACTCACCCCCCCCCATACACACACACACACACACACACACACTCTCTTTCTCTCTCTCTCTCGCTCCACGTGATCTATCTATCTATCTATCTATCTATCTATCTATCTATCTATCTATCTATCTATCTATCTATTCTCTTTCCTGTTGTACAGTATATTTATACAGATGTTTGCTGGTAAAAATAAAATAAATAACATCTACTATAATGTAATGACATTTTTGCAACTACAGATACATCAAATTAATCAATAATCAATAATCAAAATCCTGATTAAGGAAAGATATTTCTCTTATTGAATTGATACATTTCTTTTTATTTACTTTTACATGTATTTCTTATTTTTGCCACCTTTTTATGGTTGCTGGAAATAAATCAAATAATTTCTTTGCAAATAATTTTTTTTCCATTCCTTTATTTTGCAATTATAAATACATGAAACAAGTAAATAAACCAAATTTAATGCAAGGTTATGATTATGGAAAGACGTTTCTCTTTTTCAGTCATTTCTTTTATTGTCCTCATTTGTAAGTCACTTTGGATAAAAGCGTCTGCTAAATGACTAAATGTAAATGTAATTCTTTCAGATTTTTTTTCTTATTTTTTTACACATTTTATAGGCATATTGGTAAATAAATAGGCACATTTTATAGGCACATAAATAAATAAATGTATTTATTATATATCAATTATAGATGCATAAAACAAATAAATATACAAAATTATGATACATTTCTCTTATTTAATAAATGTTTTTCTTATATTTGTCACCTTTTATTTATACAAATTTACTCATGCTTGGTATTATAAATAAATACATTTATAAATTGATCTACTCTAAATATAATCCTATATATAATTGTTTTGCAATCTATTTCCTGTTGTACAATTAGTCGATTTTATTTGTTAGCTGATTATTTTATTTGTTTCCTGTTTTATTTTATTTTATTTTTTTATGACCCTGTCCCTTTAGAATATCTCAAACATTTTGAATTATTGTTTTGCTTTGTTTTGTTTCTTTTCCTACATGGTGTTTTAATTTCATTTTTGTATTCTGTCCCTGTGTGTTTTTAAGTGCTTTGAATTGCCATTGTGTAGGAAATATTCTATATAAATAATCCGGTCTATCTGCATATTACATTATATGATTTCACCAATGATTCTCTGTTCAGATGAGTCTGTGTGAAATGTTTTTTTTGACAACATACTATCTACCAAATTTAAAATAAGCTGAGGTTGAACTGAGGTTAAACTGATTTAAAAATACATTTGCGTCCTTTCCCTATACTCCAGAAATTGAGCTAGAGCAGGAGAGAGAAAACAATAGGCTTATCTCCGAAATGATAAATGAGTCACAAATGTCAACACATCCATCATTGCCGGTAACTCATTCAGACATAAAGACCTCCTAGGGAGAGGCAGAGTTCAGCATTATACACAGTTTACCACCCGGTGCTCCAAGACCTGAAAAGACGCCATTGCTGTGTAATAAGAGAATGATAATGAGGATGACGTATGCGTTCACCACTTAATATATCAATAATCTCAGTCAATTATACCTTATAATCAAAGTACACTCAGTAGATATTGCAATAACAAAAACTTGTTTTTTAAAGACTTTATTTCTCCCTATCTACTCTTATAAATAAAGCATTATCTAAGTTCATATCACATACAAATGAAAGACCTTTATATCAGAACAGATTGTTGACACATTTTTAAAATGTTTGACGGATTATATACATGTATCATCTATTTGGAATTGCATAGCAACTCATACAAAGCACTGACAAAATACATATTCTATCATAATGACATCTCACCACAAACACACACTATGACAATGCTGACAACACGGCGTTGTCAAATGGCTGCATTGTAAAAAAGACCAGTTTCCTGTCTCTTTTATTATTCAAGCATTTAGTCAATTGTACACGTACATAAAGTGACCTGGATAAATATATAAGAATTTAAACTGCAGATGATGATATAAATATATGTAAATATATGGGTAACTCTGTTACCCAGCCATTTGTCACTGAAAATGTGATTTAGCATCTAAAATCTCTACCAGAATAATTTTCTGTGTACTTAACATGCTCAATTTGGCCGGAAACCAAAACCAACAAGTCCACATTGCTGCATGACTTCATAAAAGAACCTAAAATCACACTTGGTGAGATCAAATTTTCATTTAAAAGTATAGCAGTCAGTGCAAGCAATCTATGCTAAGAGATACATCCCATTCTATTCTTTCCTGAAGGAAACTTCAGTCATTTAGGCAAACATTTATGGTCATAAATCAACCAAAGGCAAATCTACTGACTAAGAAATGATCACAGTTTATAATATACTGTGAATAGAGAATTGATTTAACGCTATCTAAGGTAGTAATTAATGGAATGTTTTTACGAAATTCAAGCATTTACCACAAAGAGAGAAACTGGCCGTAAGCAACAGCTGAGGAAGCATTCTTAAACGCAGGAGGCTATGAAAACAACGTCTATCTCGAATCAGAACAAACACGTGAAGTGGAAGCCAAGCTACAGGAAGTTTCTGCGGTCACATAAAATCTGTAAAACGTTTAGATATGCAATCAGAAATTCAAACATTGATATTATGTGATCAGAAGCAGCAAAAACCTCTCCTGTTAATCTCTCATGAGGTTTGTCTGGTTTTCTTTATAGTAGTTTAGTAAAAGCCACTTTCATACATGGTATTTCAGCCCTGAAATTGCCCAAATTTTGCACATTGGGTCCTAAGGAGCGGAGCGGTGCGGTTTTGCGCAGCCCTGAAAGCTGGACGTGACGTAGCAAACTCATGCATTCTGAAACATGACACTAACACTGTCTTTTTGGCATTACAATCAATACAGAGAGCAACAAACTAATTTCCGCACACATGCTGCCTCTTAGCATCGCTAACGTGTGGCCGTACCGGATAAAGCGGCCATGGGAGAGAGCAGATAAGACTCTCTGTGGTTTGGTGGCGGATGGAAAGGATGGTTCCGGAGGCCGGTCACACAGCCGTCTCATGGTCCTCCCTCTGGATCATCTGGTGGTGTTGTCGGTTTTCCAAGTATGCGGCCAACTCCATGTCTCGAGCTCTTTCTGCGTACATCTTTGGAGTTTCACCCTGCAGAATGACAGAACGATTTTTTAAATTAATTGTTTTTTGCAAAAGTTTTTGCAACTTTTTAGTTATACTGATACTTGCTGGAATGAATGAATAAATAATATAATACAGAATACGTTTTGCAATTATAGACAAATAAAACAAACTTATTATGATAATTCAGGAATATATTATTAAAATCAATTTTCTTAGTTTTGCCTCCTTTTATTTATACACATAATAAGTATGCTATAAATAAACAAATAAGATCTATTATAATAAAATGACATTTTTACAATAATAGATCAAATACACAAAATTATGATAATGTAAGATATGGGAAAGACATTTTTTTCTTATTTAATTCATTTCTTTTTTTCTTGTTTTTGCCAACTTTTATTTGAACATGCTTGGTGGTATAAATAAAAATAAATTGCTTAAACACACGTAATAGTAATATATTATTCAAATAATAATACATGTTTAACAACGTTTTTCAAAAATGCTTATTTGAATATTGCAGCATCTGTAACATCACATTGTCAAATACATTTGCATATGACCGCCTCCAGAGCAGCACATCTGCGAATAGTTATACATCATAGCACCATAAGCCCCGCCCACTGGCATTCAGTCATTTATCGGTATTCATCGGACAAGGGCTTCGCATCGCGTCAAAAAACAAACAGAACGCATTATAATCATTTATACTGTCTCCAGTATTCTTGACGAACTGCTGACAACAGAACAAATGGAAGAATAAATAGATGTTTGCTTTGACGCGTCCAGCTCGTTTCCATCTGTAGAGATTTCAAAATATCCTCAGCATCAGAAACAAGTGTATGATTTATTTGAATGATGTCCCGGATCACGTCGGAGGATTATATGTTTACTCAGAGCATTTGACTGCAGATTGTTTTGTAAAGGAGGCACAGTGTAATGGAGAGTTCGAGAAACTTTTGTTGTGGAGGAAACAGCACTGATAAGTGGGAAACAGTCAACTGTACTGCATCTGAGAGCAACTGCATCGCAAACCATAAGTAAACAATTTCATAATGCTTTGTCTAAAAAAAATGGCAATTTATATGGATACTGTTTCAAAACACTTATATGCAAAGGGGTAGTGAAACTTTTTTAGGCTATGACATTAGCCAAAAAAATAACATATCAAGTGTTTAAATATCATCCAAGGAAATGTTAAGAAATAAGGTACAGGTATAAGGTCCATGTGAATGTTCTCACCTGTAGATCTGTCTTCATGAGGGATGCTCCGGCCTCCACCAGGTAATAGCAGATTGTTCTCTGGCACAATGCAGCTGCCTTATGCAGGGCCGTCTCCCCGCTGAATAAAAAACACAGAGAAACGCCTCCTAACCATGAATGTCAATCAAATCTAGCTCCTTTATCCCTTTCACCACAAATGAAATGGAGTAAAAATGCCGGAGTGGCTCCAGCACTACTTACGTTGATTTCTCTGTCACATCAAGGATGCAGGCTGGAGCTGTTCACCAAAAAGTGAAAGATTATTAAAAATGAGACGCAAGTCAAATGTCAAAATATGAAGTCCAACCAACTCACCATTATCAATTATATACTTCAGAATCTCTTTACTGCCTAAAAGGACTGCATGATGGAGGAGGTATATATATATATATATATACATACATACTGTGTATGTGTGTGTGTGTGTGTGTATAGTGTGCATATATATATATATATTACAATAAACTATTTTTTATATTAAATGTGTGTACCTTGATCACTGTCATTCCAGCCCGAATCTAACCTGTGAAATTAAAATGGAATATTAATACCACTATTCATAATCAAAGCCAACTACATCTGTCTGTCTCGCCAGCGATGATTATTAAATATTGTATGTACCTTGGCACATTCACTGAGTCCTCATCAAGTGTGTTTGAACGATCCAAATTCATAATTTTTGCTCCCCTCCTTCAAGATGAAAGACATTGGGCAAAGACAAGCTTATGTAAGATATTCATTTGAAATGGATATCTTCTGCCCCTCTCACTAACAAAAAAATGACATGGTGCAATGGTATATTTCAAAGTACCATGGTATTATTGTGCCATTGTAGAGCACTTTTGTTGCAGATGGGCATTACAGAGCCCTAATTATGCACATGGAATCGTAGGATGGATAACATTGTTAGCTTAGTAATGATGTTTGCTATAAAAAGGCATAATCATGTTGTCATGGAAACAATCAAAGCTTTGGACGTGAAGGTCTGAATTAGACCACAAAGCGCTCAGTTTGAGATGTACCTGCACAAGCCTGGCTTCGTGGGAGTCTCTGGATCGCTAGTTTGCTTGTGTGTGTCGCTATCCATGCTCGCGCTTTCCGTTTGGCCTTCAGCATGCGTCTGGTGAACCCTGCGAGAGCATGATGGGATGGACAGACAACAGAGAGGAGGATGTGTTTACATGCTGTGGGGGGCGGGACACTCATTGTTTGTGAGATGTGTATAATTTACTGTAACAGAACAACTGCTACAATGTGGTCTGACAGATGGGATGTGTTTTTTCAGCGATCTGCTGTGCGTCAGGCTGGGGGAGGGTGAATGTAAACACAGATAAATGAGTTTAATAGCAGGGGCCTTTATGAGGGACTGTCCTGTCCTGGATGGACTCACATTTGAGCAACACGCAGATTTGTGCTCGCTCACAGGAGACTTTGGCACAAAAATGTCACTGTCTCTCACTCTCTCTGTCTCGCTATCAGATGTGCACACAAATACACAGACAAAGACTTCCCCAGAGGGAATAGACGAGAGCTGAAGAGCAACTGTCGTTTTAGTTTTTTTTCAAACAGGAAGGAACACATTCGATTCGGTCTAATGTTCCGTATTTACTGCACACACACAAGCTTCTCTAGATATGTATGTATTTGGGACATTCTGAAATTCATATCAGTTGGTTTATTTACTTAAATTGTTATGCTAATATAATTTATATGTTTGTATTATTTTTATAATATTATTTATAGGTATATATATGTATTTATAATGTAATATTAAAGTAATATTGTCGATATGAAATACATAATATAAAATAAATATAATATTATAAAATATATGTACGTATATATATATATATATATATATATATATATATATAT